GATCAATTCAGGGATGACCTCTCCTCTGCTACCAAGGCCAAAGGTTACCCTTGCTCCAGGAACCTCCAAAAGCCCTGAGTTCTATCAAGACATTCTCCCTGGTGGAGTCCATTTCACTCTTGAACAAGAGAAAAAGGCGGCTTAGGGGAGGTGGAACAGCCCACAGCTGAATGTGCAGATAAGAAGCAAGATAGCCTAGAGGCTCGTGGAGCTGGTTCTAGAACCAGCCCATCACTATCTACATCCCAGTCCTGCCATTTACTGTCTGGCAGCAAGATCCTTAATGTCCCTAGGCCTCAGACGCCTCCCCTGTAAATGGGTGCCATAACAGAACCATCCTCAGAGCCCAGATGAGACACTGCATGTCGGGGTTGTAGGACAGGGACTGGCCCGCAGCAGAGGCTCGGTTCCCGCCCACTATCACTGTCATTCCAACGTGTGCCAAAGACCCTGGTCAGCACCTGCTGACCCCGGCAATGCCTTTTTTGAGGAGATGTCCAAATTCACAACCTGAAGGCGCTCAATGGCCAGAGTCACAGTCAGAGGACCTGGGGCAGCTGGGTCTGGATGACTGGGAGCTTGAAACAACAAGGACAAACTGCTCCTGGATCTGGAATCCTTTTAGAAAGCACTGCCCTTTAACATACTGATACCATCCTTTTAAAGGGCGTTTCCCCAAAGCATCCACCGGGCGGTCTGCTGCACCCTCAACTCCCTGCTCCATCGGCTGGGTACGTATCACACGCTCACCTGTTTCACGCGCTTTCCTTCATTGATTCCTCCCAATAAGCCCTCGGAAGTGTGTGTCACTCTCATGTCCATCTTACATTTTACAGCTGAGGAGACTGAGGCACAGGAGGCTGCACACCTTCCTCACACAAGGGGTGAAGGGAGCACCAGGATTTGAACCTGGTGGATCTGATGTTTTATCACACTACACTGCAGGGGTCCCAGACTCAACCACCTGCTCGAGCTGCACAGGTAACATAAACAGGGAAGGCAGGCTGAGAGTGGGTGGTGGGGACTGTGGCCATCTGGGGGAGGGGAACCAGCCCTCAGCTCCGGCTGCCTGCTGCCATGTGGGATCCTGGATTCTCTGTTCTCGGATCATCTCATCTTCTGAAAAGATGCCAACAATCTGGATCTTTATGTGAAATCTCCCAATTTTAAATTCTGGCTCATGTGGTCTTTTAAAACATTAGGCCGTGCCCCAACTCTTGGTCCCACCATAGTGTAACCTCTGCTGAGAAAGCCTGTGTCAGCTCCAAGGGCATGGCCACTCAGGGAGAAGCCAGTCCAGTGCTGGGTCCACTCTGCTGGCCTTCTGGGATCCACCCTGATGCCTCCTGGGCTCCTCCGCTTTGCCCAGATTCCTTCCTACTCTGGGCCAGGGTGGAGGACACACCCCACTCAGACACGTGTGGGTTGTCCATCTGTGGCACTTTTCCGGGGGTTTGAGGAAGGGAAGTTTAAATTTTCCCAGCCCTCTCACAAAATCCCTTCACATTCCTGCCAGTCACAACACCCCCACAGACAATAGCTTCATTCCTTCATCAGTGTCTTTCCTATACAGGAAGGTTGAAGGTAACAAGACGACATTACAAGACCAGTTGCTCATGAGCTCTTCGATTTTTTTTTCAGTCCCCTGAAGTGGTGACCACTCTGCAGGGAGCCATTCACACTCTCCCACAGCCTGATTTAGACATAAGGACAGCTGGAGACCCATCTGCTTATCACCACTGTGCTCACGTGGGAGAAGTGTGTGGCTCTGGCTTCACTGGAGCACATGCTGAGTGAGCTCTAGCTTCCTCTTGATGAAGGACATAGAGGTAATGAACATCCAGTAACTAGTACTGGTTTGAGGCTGTATCATTTCTTATATGCTCTCATTTAATCTTCACTATAATCAACCCCATTTTACAGATGAGAAGACTGTGGCTCCAACAGGTTGAAGGGGCCTGCTTGTGTTCATAGAGCTAGGCCAGTGATAAAGGAGCCAATGTCTATAGCCTTTGATGTAATACTTCCTCCTCCAGGAATTCACCCCAAGGAGATAATCAGAGATGGACCCCCAATTTTCTGCTTCAGAATGTTCACCACAAGGTTCACTTTAAGCATAAAGTATTGGAAACAATGCCCAACCATACAGAATTAGCTAAGTAAGTTCTAAGTACAGACAGCGATTATGTAGCCAATCAAAATCAAACCACATTTTATTTCCTCTGAAAACATGAGGCAGTTGCTCGACCTTCAACCTCTGAATTCAGCTTGCCCCAGAAGACAGTATCCGATGGTTATACCAATAACTTGATGAAAACAAAACAAAACAGGCCACCCGACTCCACATCTAATCCACACTAACTGCTGCTCTCCCTGGCCCCTTCTTCTCCCCTGAGCAGGCAGCACTAAGCATGGGGCTCTGACCTCTGTCCAAATGTCTCTTTTTTGGAGATTTCAGGCCTCTGCATTTGGGACAGTACTTCCTGAGTCTTAAGCATAATGCTGAAGAAAAAAAAATCTAGCGTGTCTTCCACATAGCACTACAGGGCATGGAAAGTCTCAAGCACCCTTTCATTCAGCAAATACGTACAAGTGTCTGTTCTGTGCCAGGCACACAGGAGGACAAAGATGAATAAGACAGCTCAGCCTCCGCGGTGACACAACTGAAGGACAGCCGTCATGGAGGAGTTTCAGCAGAGCACAGAAAATGATTGAACTTTGCCCTTCTCCACAGGCCCTCTTGTAACTGCCCTGAACCTAGTGTCCAGCCCAGCAGAGGAAGACCCAGCTCTGCCACTTACTGGCTGTGGGACCCTGAGTTCCTCCTTGAAGTTTCAGCTTTCTTGTCTGCAAAACAGGGCCCCAACTGCACATAATTCACAAGGCTGTTGGAGAATTCAGTGAAATAACACATGAAAATACTTTCTCAGCATCTGAAGCACTGGGCCCTCCTTGGTCATTCATTCTCTCTCTGCCCACAGTCCTCTAGCTTAGCAAACAAGATGTCAAGCCACATTAGTTAGCTAACCTGCTGCTCTGCTCACAAAACATGGGCATTTTAAAAGAGATGGAGGAGGGCCTTCTGGAAAAAGGGCATGTGGACTTCACAGAAAACCTCAATGGCAATTAAGAAAAAGTTCTTTTGCACAGGTACAACCTGTCTGTATTTTAACATCTTACTGTGCCAGTGGTTGCCGACCCCACCAAGGAAAGTGTAGCTTTGCTCTCAAAGCGCCACGGTCACTAAAATCTTAGATGTCCACCCTCCTCAACATATACACACACACCCCCCTCACCTTGGGCAGGTCCGTGGCTCCACGGATCCGCTGAGCCACCTTCTCTCCATCGGGGTGGATCTTGGCCACGTGCTTCCACATCCTTTCCCAGGTGGGCTCGTCCACAGGCAGCCCACCCCGGTTGACAAAGAAGGGGATGCCTCCATCTCGCAGGTCCTCTTCCCCTTCTTCTTCTGGCTCATCATCTCTCTGGGCTGAGGCCCCTTCACTTGTCTCCAAACGCCTGACCCCAGAGGGAACAGCAGTGGTAGTGGGGGCAGCAGCGCTGCTGCCACCCCCAACCACCTTCTTCCCCCCTGGCATCCCCAAATCCTTGGCGGGGGTGAGAGGATGTATCAGGAGGCAGGAAAAAAAAAGTTGGCTCACAGGAGGTCTCCCACACACCAGCTGCAGAGATAACACATGGTCAAACAGAGCACAAGGCGCCTTTAAGAATCCAGGGCGTGGCTCCCGTACAATAAAATACTACTCAATGAAAAAAAAAATCAATGCCTTGATGTGAAGTGCGAAGTGCGGGGCAGAGGGGGTTGGTTATCCCGGGTGAGTCTTACAAGCCTTGTTCTTTTTGAAAAACAGGATACATAAAATACACCCCTTGGCAGCCTTCACAAAGCACCCCCATTTGACAGAGAGAACAATAACGGACAGCAGTCTGGGCTGGCAGAGGAGAAAGTCGGAGGGAAACTGAGGCCGGGCAGCTCAGACCTGCGGCCACGAAAGGGTCAAGGCACAAGTGCCCACACCGACTGGGCGCCCTAGGTCCCAGTTTTGGAGAGAAACAAATTCCTCTATAAAATACAGCACGCTCACACCTGTGCGCGCTCTGGGCGGGGGTGGGGGGGGTTG